TGTTATATAAAATGCTCTAGATCTTTCCCTGTTAGATATGAATATTCTCAGCAGTTTAGTAATTTAATGATAGCTCACTATTGAAATATGTATGTGTGTGTATATATGTATATGTGTATATACACACACATATGTAGTTAAATTGATGGTGAAGAGAAAAGATACTATAGAAATTATTTCTCCCATCAGCAAATCAGGGATTTCTGCCGCTTTCTAGAAATGTAGATTAAAAAATATACATGTATTTTAAGGATTCACCATTCTAAAGCATACACAGGCGTGAATTTTTAACAGCAGCAACCCTTGAGCATTTTGAACTTCAGCTTTGTCATTTGGGAAAATGAAAGATTAAGTAGTAGGTTAAGCTGTCAGACAGGACGTCTGTGACTGTCTAATGAACCCTGAATGGATCAAGTGTAGAAGTTCAAGGTTAAAACTTGTGTTATGGAATAGGATAAAACTATTCTACTCTCAAGGAGTATTTCCAAATGTTTCAAAGTAACCTCTTCTTGTAAAGATTCTCCTTCTGCAGGGGTCAAAATAAACAAAGTGAAGAATATGAAGCTGCTTTTAAAATTATCCCGATTGTGTGCTTTCAGAAGCCGGGGTTCATGTCTGGACTGACCTGAATAGTTCCTTTGGAATTTATTAGGTTTATTAAAAAAATACGCCTGACTTAGTGACCACTAATTGGCAGGCACTGTGCTAGGCGCTTTCTACACGTTATATGATAAGCTTCAAGTGACAACCACTGATTTAGAATTCCTATTTATCTGTATAAATTATTAAAATAAACATTTCAAATTTGCATTTTAATTTAATTATCAAAAATGTAAACTGAAGTGAATGTGCATCACTCTCGCAGACAGTCTCTATTAACAAATACTCTGTTGACAAATAGGTGACTTCAGTATTTTGTGCAAATTCACAAATTTGTACTTTTTCAAATACACAGCTGTCTTGTAAACAGACGAAAGTAATATTTAATATGTTTGCTCTATAGTTCAATTCTAAATTCTAAACATAATCTAACAGAACCAAACATCAAAAAGGGACAGAAAAGAGTTTTGTGAGCTGTAATGATCACTTTATCTTATTTGTCTTATTTACCTTCCTTATTCAATATTTTCCTCAGTGTCTAATAACTATTCTATACTCAGTGAATGTTTTTTAACTTGTTGAAATGCAAGAAGTTTGGTATAGAGAGATAGTTGCTCTGAAATCAGAACAATTTGTTAAAATTTAACTTGTCAAAACTGCATAAGTTAAAAATGCATAGGTTATGAAATATGTAGTACTAGATGTAGGCAGTTTCATAGACAAAGGGCATGAATTTGTATCTTTTTCAATCCCCACCCATGGAGGGTTCAAATGCTTTCCGCAAATTAATATATCAATATTTCCAGCAGTGTGACATTCAATGAATGAACAAGAAGACGACTCTTTTTAACCTATAGAACTATCTATAAATTCCCTATATATTTTGATGTTTATTACTGTAAAAATAATTTTATAATAACGAAAATAGTAATAAACATATGTTCATATCCTAAATGCAATGGTTTCTATTAGAAAATGAAGGCATGCAAGAGATATTTTCTCAAGGAGCATATTTTAATCTGCTTTACAAATGAAACACTATATTTGCCGCTTTTGATTTTGCACTATTTGAGGATAATATTCTTACTCCTGGTCATGTACAGATTGGTACAAGTAAAATGTTTCAGGACTCATGCAAATGTTAAAAGCAGAAGTGTTAGTCACAGATAATTTTTAAGAGGTAGCCTCAATTTTGTGCTCCAATGTCAGCCCTGTAGATTTACAGCAATTCAACGTTTCACTTAGATTCATGAATTGTTATACCTTGGAGTCACAGATGAAGTTCTTCTGGAAACGGACTCTGAGACTTATTGGGGACGCTCTTGGAAGCATCTCCTGTGAAGAGTGAGGGATGCAGGATTGGACAGAGGAAGAAGTTGAACTGTGATGCAGTCACATCAGAGACCTCAGTCTATCCTACATCCTTTGAGGAGCTTTAGAGCTGAAATAGAGCTTCAGAGTTGTCCTGGCTTGAGTCAAGAGGGAGAAGCCATTAAACCTCTGGCTTAATAAGTCATTGCATGGGCTACCAACCCCTCCCCTAGGGAAGGAGTTTGACCTTGGGTGAGGCAGCTCCTTTTGGCCCAAGGCAATATGTGAAGAGGATCTCAGGTGAGAGTCATCAGCTACCCACACTCCCAGCAGCTGGGGGAATGAGTGCCTCAGTCCTGAAGGGGGCTGTGGGAAGCACACCACAGCATCCATTACACCTGTATTTGCATAGCACATGGCCAAAGAATATGTAGTCACATGTCCTCTGCTTTCCAACCATCCTTTAGCTTTCTCTCTTTAAACAGATAGGAAGAGAGGAACTCAAATAGTTTCCTCAGCTTCCCAAAGTTTATGTATGACTCTTCGTTGATGTTTTTTATTCCCAGGAAGGCAATCCCAGTTGCAATATTGAGAAAGGGCCTTGTACTATATGTGTAAATGTAAATGAAATACATATCCTGGAGGAAGAGGGAAGTTGGGAATTAACCCTACTTAGCAATGAAATCAACATATGTTTATTCTTTGTGCCTCTTATGGTGCTGCATAAAAAATATATGCTTGAATTATCTCTTAACCTCTTTGGATATCCTGAACCAGAGGGGATTTGTGAATGAAATTTATACATGCTAAATTGCATTCTTGTATTTATAAGAATGGAATGTTTCTGTGGAAGCAACATAAACGGCTAAAGAGTTTATTAACTTATGTTTGCTTTCCATGATATGTTAGCCCTTACCTAATTTCTGAGATTTTTAGGATCAAACATGTTAATGAATGCTTATGAATATCTTTTGCAAAGCATGACATGTGATACAGATAAAAGTAATTTTAGGGGTGGACCTGGTGGCGTAGTGGTTAAGTTTGTATGTTCTGCTTTGGTGGCCCAGGGTTTGTGGGTTCAGATCCTAGGTGCAGACCTACACACCACTCACAAGCCATGCTGTGGTGGCATCCCACATACAAAATAGAGGAGGACTGGCACAGATGTTAGTTCAGGGACAGTGTTCCTCAAAGAGGAAGATTGGCAACAGATGTTAGCTCAGGGCCAATCTTCCTCACCAAAAAATAATAATAATAATTTTAAATTATTAAGGCACACTATTATTTGTGGACGTGTTAAACCACACCACTGACTTCAACCAAAACTTGTTTTACTTCTGAGTTCTCTAAAAAGGTACGAACCAAAAATTTACTTTGGTTCTTTAACTTTTAATCAAAAGAGAAATTTTTAGCAATACTAAACACAAAATGAGTCTATCACCAAAGTTTTATGGATGCCCTCCCTAAGAAAGTATACATAACCACACTCAATTTACTACCAGGTGGACAATAAAATAAGTTTATGGTGTGCTCTGGCGAATGTAGACTTGTTATATTTTGCTTTTATTTCTGTTCGTTTTAACATCTGCCCTCTATTTCCTGACTTGTACTATTTTTTATTTTAATTGGTTTGCTGATTCAAACTTAGTATTTTTGGCCTTGCTGTTGTTGAGGAATATTTCAAGAGGAAAGTAAAAAGAGTGGGAAAAATACTGTTTTTGTTAATTTGGCTCCAGCTGATTTTATACCTGGAAGCGGGAGAGCTAATGGTTTTTTGTGTGGTTAATTAAATCCTGTGCTGATGGCTTCTGTTATAGGTATTAAGTCACCCACCTTGTTAGCGGATCCTCTGGTCCAGTAGGGTTGGATTTACCATCGGGGAATCGTTTTTTACGATGTTCACCTTGTGTTCAGGTAACTGTTGGAGGGGAAGATGACGGTCTGTGTGCAGTTGGCCAGAGACTGTGAGATTTGTAAAGGTAATTCGTATGGAGTCTCTACTTTGTTTTAAAAACAAGATGGCAGGCAAATAAGCGGCACAGACATGAATCTCTTTCCTCTTTTCTTGTCTCTTAGAATTCTTCTCTGAGAAAGGAAAAATCCCACTGCGTTTTGTTTTCCTAATGCTTCTTGGATTCTCACCAGCAGGTTTTTACAGTCTGTTGCTTGCCTCTCAGATTAGAAGAATGCTAGCATATTTTAACAGTTTCCTAGGATTCCAACAGTCTTTAATTAACAGCAAATTGATGTTTTGAAATGTTACCAAGGTATGAGAAACTGAATACTGCAAGGGGCTTCCGTCCTTTCAGCTTCTGAGTGCAGTGGGGTCTTAGAACAAGGGGCAAAGGTGTGTGCTCCCTTGCAGACAGCTGGTTACCTACTGGTATGTCAAGGGTGTGTCTTTGTTGGCGTAATAATCCCACTGCTTGCTCATTGGTGGCCTTCTAAATTCCTCCTACTTATGACTGGGAAGGAGTCAGGTAGTTGTTGAATGCTCAGAGCTACAGGGGTGCTGAACAGCTCAGGGATTTCTCCACTCGTAGCTGGGTTCAATGGTTTTAATCCTCCGGTTGCCAGGGCACTGAGATACGGCTGCCTATGTTTGTGGTTACGGTTCTTTTCCATGCCAGGTTCATGTCATCTTGCTGCCAGAGTTTTGAATGTGGTGGAAAAAGAGCAGTTCTATAAAGTAATCACTCAGACTGGATGCATATTCTGAGCAGAAGTTAGTTTGCAAAGAGGGATCGGAGTGCAGTGGAGGAGTTTTCCTTTTGAATCAAGACATCTTAGTTACACATCTCTAGTCAGGAAAAGAAGGATAGACTGGGGAGTATGGAATGGTTGAAATGTTAACTGTTACTTACATAATCAGATAGTTATAATCAGAGGAGGAAAAGAGAGCAGCTCAACTAGCTCCCTCTGCCTAATGGCAAATCTGCTCATTGGCCAGTTCCCAGTTGAGGTCAATACGCTCCATGTCTTGTTTTTTCCAGTGACCCACAAAGCTGGCCTTTTGGTCTCAAAAGAGACTTTGGTGATTTTTACATGCATCATGTCCCTGATCACTCCCTCTGCTCTCCTCTCTGCAGGTGGTACATGCCAGAGCCCTGCTCTCCCAGCCCTGGTCCGTCCACCAGCCCCTCCTTTACAACCATCGCTGGATATTAAGCCGTTTCTTCCCTTTCCTCTTGACACTGCGGCCGCAGTCAACCTCTTCCCCAATTTTAATGCGGTAAGTCCCACAGTTAAATTTGTGTATGCCACAGTGGTAGATCCTGGGAAACGTTAAAGGCCAGAGTGAGTTGTTTACTGCCTCTCTTTTGTTATATTGCTTATTCCATGGCTTGTCTAAAAGTCGTGATGAAGTTAGTTGTCTGCCTGGTTATGTAAGGGCCCCGGAGCCAGGAAAATTAAAAGAGATTCAATTGATTGGGTTGATCATGAGTTAATGTCTCCCTTTTAGTGTCTTTCTGGGTAACACTAACAATTTTATTATTTTGTTGGAATATATCCACATTGAAATTTCATGAATTTGTTAGCGAGAACGTTAGAATTCAAGTAGATGTCGAAAAACTTAAATGCGTGTTTCTTCTATCTGGGTCCTCTACTTTACGTTTCAAATCTGTTGCTTCTTTTCTTATTTCCTAAAGAGGACCCTGATAATTACAGTGGTGATACATTCCATGTCTAGAGCACTTTTTTCCTTCTTAACTTAAAACAACTCAGGGTTCCGGTAGTAAGAGTTTTCTTTTCTTTTTTTCCTTCCTGCCCGACCACAGTTGCTCAAAGTTGTCTTTCTTAAAGTACATTGTTTTTTCTGGGCTTTGTCATCAACCTTCTCAACACAAGTTCCATTGCTTACTTGCCTCTATTTTCACTTAAGCATGTCTTTATAAATTGGCAGATTCCTCATATTCATCATCACCTTTTTTTTTGTACAAACAGTGAAAGTATTCTTAGGATAAAAATAGAAATAGGAGTTGAAAAGGTTAGAAACCAGTAAGTGACATTTTTTTCTCATATCATCTGATTCAGCTTTCAGCGGTTGTTATAATGCAGGTCTGAGCTTACCAATGACAGGGCATGTCAACACGACCAAAGCAAAGAGGATTAAGATGAGAGGTCACTGAGTGCCCAGGGATCTAAATAGTACAGGTTTCTCATTGCAACATCTTGCCACCATGATAGTTTTTTTTTAAAAAGTTCTGCCCACAAGTAGATTATTCTCCTTCAGGAGATAGAAGTGGGTCTTATTTTTTTAAATTATACTTTGTTATGGGGAGTTTGGCCAGGCCTGTATAAGAGGGTACAGTTATGTTCTAGTCCTCGCTAAAGAGCAAGGGAGAATCACAATGATCCCTTTAATTTTTGGTGGGTGAGGAATTTTCCATAGGAATCTTATTTTGCAATTGATGGAGCATAAATAGAGCAGCATAAAGATCACATTTCCAAAGTAGAGATTTCTAATCCTGGGTGTTTCAATAAGAGTAGAGAAATAATTGCTCAGCATCAAATTCCCTGATTCTTAAATGACCATGCTGAAGTCCCCTGGGTTCCCTTTTCTCAAAGCCGCTCATCTGCTCTTGTGTTAAGTGGCTCCCTGGCACAGTCTTGCTTCCCGGATACCACGAGATGATCCATCAAGGTGCTTTACCTGGCCTCTGAGACCACTTGGCATCCTGTCACTCAGGTCTCCTGTCAGCTTTAGAACAGCGGAGATAAAATTCCTGGAAGGTTATAAAAGGCTGGGTTGAAAACTTTTGATTGGCCCTTTGGGAAACATTAAAAGCAAAATGATTAACTTGATTGACAGTGAGTATTAGTTGTCATAAAACAAAGATGAGTGATATACTGAGTTATATGACAGTGAGCAAATTTCTTTACCGTCTTTGCTACTGTTTCCTCCTCTTTAAAATAAAGGGAGTGGACCTGATAATCTCTTCCTTTGGGGGTTATACCATTCTGGTATTTGAGCTTTTGTGGGCAGAGACGGCATAGTGTGGTGGTCAGGCTGGACTCTATAGCTAGATTGCCTACGTTTCAATCTCAGAGCTGCTACTTATCATCAGTATGGCCTTGGGTAAGTCACATAATCCCCATGGATCTCAGTATTTTCATCTGTAAAATGGGACTAATAATTTACCTACTTCATTGGCTTGTGGTCAGGATTCTGTGGGTTAAATCATTTATAACAAGCCCTATTTGAGTGATAGGTATTGTCTTCATGAATAGCCTGCCAACTCTTCTTATTTTGAATGTGGGAGTTCATTGACTAACTGACTGCAGAAGTTTGACTTCATTTTTTTCTTCTATGATGGATTTTGACTTAAGTTGGTATTTGTTCCATTTAAACCAAGAGACCCTCTGTTGCTACGCCTAATGGTTATTTCCTTTTAGTGCTAGTCAGGCTGCAGCCAGGCAAGGATTAAGGCGCTCCTTGCTTCCAACGGAGGGGTGTGGTTGCAAAGCTCATAATCAGGTGGTTTTAGACTGAGAATTAGGGTGTAGAGCATCTCTCTAAGTAACAGCCTGAGTTCTTGATTTTGTAGCAGGTGTGACTCTCGATCCACAAATTCAGGGTGTATGAAATGTAATTTGTTTTTGCTGTGAGTTGATTTTATTCCTGGTTCAAAAGCCCATTCTGTTAGACTGGAGGGAAACCCAATTTAATTCTGTTTCAGAGTGTGCTAAGAGTCTGGAATCTTACAGGTTATCCATCCAGGTTTTGGTGAGACACTTCCTCTGTTCATCAAGTTATGTATTCATATAGCCATTCATGGGATGGTCAGCACCAGGTTAGCATGGCCTTGTAGGCCCCCAGCTCTCAACTTTGGATGCACAAACTTTGTGAAGTGTCACTGGTCCCTCCTGCCTAGATGTGCCTCGATGTGCTTCTTTGCCACCCAAGAACCTTCCCCCATCTGACCTCTTTGAAACAAAGTCCATGACAGTCAGAGACGATCTGCCTCCTGTATTCTTCCTCTGAGGATATGAGTATGGAATCATCTATCTATTGGGGGTAGGGTGTAGTACAATGATGAAGGAAAACTTTTAAAATATATGCATGTAAAATAAAATACACAAATCATAAGTGGATATCTCTGATTATTATCCTTAAGCAAGAGCATAAACCATTGCATTTGGATGTGAGTCAGGAAGAGTAATGAAACATCTGTAAAAATAAGCACAATTAGGAGAGAAAGGAAAACAGATGTGGGATCTGAGCTGGGATATGGATATAAAAGAGGACCTTCAATAAAACCATTAGGATGTCTTAGTCTTCTTAAAGCTAATTTTTAAGGAATAGCAACAACACAAGCTGTTCATCCTTGACCTAAAGATGTTGTGTCCCTGAATATTTCAGTAGCTTCCAGACAAGAGAAAGCTTTCCTTCAATTCCTCATATACCCCTACTCTGCCCCTCAATCTCTTATGACATTGCAGTTTCAGTGTTTAGGATCATTCTGATCCCAGGGGTCCCATTCTGAGTCTGAATTTCTTGAAAGGACTCAATCCTGGAAATAGGTAGATGATGTTTAGGAAAGAAATGTTCCTTTCCTAAGTGGTATGAGCTTGTTCTGTTCAGTCAAATACATGCTATTTATCAAGCATGTACTATGTGCCAGAAATAGTGATAACAAAAACTATGTTATAACTTCTGCCCTGAAATAATTCAGTTTATAAAGGCGAAGTTGGACAAATACAGAAATATTTGTAAATATGGGTGCTTTTATAGAGAAAGTTGTATAGGATAGAATGGCAGCTCAAGGACAGGAGTGGGGAAGGCTGTGTGGTTGTCTTAGGAGGATTTGGTGAGAAAAATGGAAACTATTCTAGGCATCCAAACAGGAAGGGAATTAATATAAGGATTTAGGTGCTTACAAAATCTTTGGAGGTTCTGGGGAAACAAAGGTCAGAGAAAGCTGTTGTTGGCTCTTGGTTTTTCTGCGTGCTTTCATGGAGTCAGGAAGTTGCAGAAATACAGGATGGCTAGTAATCCCAGTTGCTTTAATCTAAATCCCATGAATGCCTCTCTATAGTGGATTCTAAGCCTGAACACTGCTGGCAGAGATCCGTGGGAACACAAGCCTCAAGCTTCTAGTCCTTGTGATGTAAGGGACAGCATAGAAGAGGGGAGGCAGTGCTGCGTTGCCAGTAGAAGACTTGACATGATGGCAGGATGGACAGGGCTGTCTGTGTGGGATTAGAAAAATCTGAACATGTCCAACATCATGCACAAGAGGCTAAATCCAGTGGAGCCCCAGTGTTCTGTTCTGTAAAATGAGAATGAGTGAATAACTCTTAGGTTAGTTATCAGAGAGGTAGCTGAGTTTTAAAATTCTGGAGATTGAAACTGAGAATGGGCTTGCGTAAGATCTTGAGGGGTTGTTTAGAATGGGAGCTAATCATTAAAAATGGCTATACTCCTGACAACTTTCTCCCAAGATCTCACAGTTTCCCTCTGTTTTTCATTTCTCTAACATATTTTCGTATATTCTGATCAGTAGTTATGACAATAATGAGCCTTCAAAATGTCATTGAAAAGGTACAACTTTTGGAAAATGTGTTCCCGGGGACTGACTGTGACACTGATTCCATGTCCCCCTTCTATGTGCATTGCCTGTTGGCATAAAGATTAAATGCATAAACGTGACCTAATGTACCTGCATATACCAGATACTCAGTAGATATTGAGTCCTTCTCCCTTCCAGGAGATACGCAAGAAAGAGCGCGGAGGTCACACAGAGGGAAAAAAGCAGAAAGATGGGCATGTACAGGAGAGTGACTATTTTGCTTTCAGTTAGCTTTGGCTAATATTCTTTAACATTAAAAAAAGCAAATTAGCATAGAAGTTTCAACAAATATTTATTGAGGACCTACTATGTGCCAGGCCCTTAGGATTCAGCAGTAAAACTAACAGGCTAACTCTCTACCACTCTGGTACTAACTTTCTGGTGTTTGTGTGGTGGGCTGTTGGGGAAACTTGTATTGGTAGCTACAGCTGTACTTCATGCATGATCCTTCTATGGTTGTGTTTTATCTCCTCGAAATGCTCGGAGCCTCACTTGTAGGGTGACATTGTTCGGGACTTGGGTTACAGCTGTCTTTTGTTGAATGCCCACTCTGTGCCAGGTATGTGACATTATCGCTTGCATCCCAACTGGTTAAAAGCAAAAGTTTTTCTATGAAATTTTTAAGCTTTCATGTGTATCACAATCTGAAAATTCTTCG